AAGAGGGTAAGCTAAAAGCAGCCCTTTTACTAAGGGATCTGCAAACTCCAGGGGAATCTTTACACTGGAGGAAAAGAAAAGTAATGAGGTATATCGGTGAATTGTTTACCTTCTCATGCTTTATAGCAACTGCTGTGTTAAGACAATCTGTAGCATTCAGAATTACAGCATTTGAGCTTCAGAGAATGGACACGCCAAATTACAGGTGCCAAATAGACATTTTTCTACAGATTTAAATTTCTATCTGATCTCCCACTGGACTTACTAGAAGTAAAATATGTGACATTTTCCTTAAGTAGTATAAGTAGTAATATTTCTGAAGTGTTGTAGTTAGTTTAACATAGTAGCAGTTTGAAGATTCTTCATGCAGATACTTCCACTGAGAGAAATTCATCAAGAGAACTTTCATGACTGAACTGATGCATGTTTTAAAACCTGCAATGAAGTTACAAGTGCACATAAAGCCCCCTTTTTTAAAAAGTTACAAGACTATTGACACCGAGAAAGCTCGAAGTCAATAGGACATTTCTTTTTCAGGTTGGTTTGTTAGTTTTTAATTTCAGGGAATTGGGGTGGAGAGGGTGTTGTGCCTCCCCACTCCCCTTTCAGGTTTTTGTATACCAGAAACAGTCTCTCAACAAGTTGGTTAATGATTTTGATAGTTGACGGTAAAACAAGTAAGAAATGCAATGGAAAACTGTCAAGACACTGCAGAAGTAAACCTAAGTCTCTACTCCCTGTTAACCCTAAAGTTTCAGTGTGCTTTTGGAAGGGCATAGAAATGCAGCTTTTGACTTAAAAGGCAACAAAATATCTTATAAAGGGAGATCAGATATTTTCAGACATAACTTGGCAAGATTGTCAGTTATCTATTTCAAACTTCCTGAAATATCTCTGGCACATCAGTAATTTTTTTTTTGGTGTAATGCGTCCTTTAAGGGAACACATTAAAAAGATTTAGGAAAGATGTAAAAAGTTTGGAAGTTCACACTTACTGGGAGCAGGTAAATACATTACAGGGGGCTGGGTTTTTATGCTGTTACCAAGTCAGGCAGCTACAAAAGCTAAAGGAAAGATAATTCGCAAACTACATTGAAAGCAGTCTTCAGGTTTACAAATGCTTTACCAGTAGTATCACAGTTCCTTAACCCACAAAATAGGAGGAATTATTCTGTGCTCTGTCTTGGCCCACTGTGTGTATTAGTTCTAATCACAGAGTCCATTTCTTTTTGTGTGCTCTGCTCTAGGAGGACATTGCACAGGTACACCAGACTCCATTTCCCTCCAGTGACTTCACTGTTAGCAGGCTCCTGCTTCTTAGATTTAAATAGGCATGGGAGTACAAGGCTTGTGAGTGAGGAACTCACTAGGCAAATTTCAAGTTTGCTGAGGGGACCTAAAAGCAACATTGACTGATCACAAAGTTCATTCTAAGCACTGAATGTTTCATAACAAGTCTTCTGATAGCAATCACTGTTCCGGTTGCTAAGTTCAAAGCTACTGTTGCTTTAGCCATCTACCTCTGTCATCCAAGAGACTCCAAAATCTGTTTTTTGTTTTAAGTTGTTGTAGTAGAAAGGTTGACTTCTTTTCAGAAGAGAGATCTGGGTGTAATTCTGTGACTGTGACTGTACTGAAGGAAATAAGTGTCTGAGCACAAGGTTAGAGAAATCTCCTAGGTTTCTCTAGAAAAGGCTGTCTTTTACTCTTGGAGACATAATGTCATTTTGCAGAGTACCATGTCATGTAAATTCTAATTTTGTGTATTTTCATTAATGGTTGGGTCACCTTGTCATCTTTATAGTAGTCAGTGTGCTGGCTTCCCTTAAGAATATTACAAGTGTATAGCAGTAAAACGAATACATGTGTGTGCATGTGATTTAGAGTGGTAACAAAGTTTCTACATGTGGTATTGAAATCAAGCTGAAAATATTTTCCCTAACTTTGTTTCCATACAATATATGAGAACTTAAGTGGCATTTGCATAATTCCAGCACTGCTTATTGCTCATTGATAGAGTTGCTTTATCTCCTGATCACATGCTCCAGCTGAGCACTTTGGCAAAACAGTGATACAGGCATTAGCTTGGAGGTTAAGGCTTCCAGCTAATTAGGAACTGATCTTCTGAAACATCAAATGCCAGGTGCACTGGTTTTGAAAGCACCAGCCAGTTGCCACTAAAATGGTAAAACAGCTTCTGTTGGAGCTGAGAGCATGAACAAGGTGATTGTGATTTTAGGCATCTCAGAACTAGGCTGGCAGTTCAACAGATGTTCTGTGGCAATAACTGGAAACCTCATGCATGTTGAACAACTAGTTTTTCATGGGATTTTTTGGGTTTTTTCCCACAGCTATACTTGGGGTAGTCCTGGGTTTGCCTAATGAATCTCTAGTTTTATAGTATAATTATTCTACGTTTTCTCTTAGAACATTCCTTTGTGGTCAGAATTTTAGTTAAACATTTTGTCCACATGAAACTGCATGCAGTGGTTCATGGGCATTCAGCTTGCAATTGGATTTCAATTTTACCTGTGTTTTCATGGAAGATCAGTCCTCCTAAGCAGGCTCTTTGCTGAGGATAAGTTTGAGCCTACAGCCATCCTATTCTCTGATTGCAAGTCCTCATTGCTGCAGTGTCTGTGCGGTCAGCACTTAAACTATGTAGGCTATGAAAGTGTTAAAGCACACACAGAAGGGAACGGGACAGAGGCTAAGGTGGGTGCACAGGGAACATACAAGACTCATCAGTTGTTTCAGCACCTTTAGTGCCTCCAGTCTGTAACAGAAAAGCACATTCTTTTAACCTGCTGAATGGAGGAAGCATAAATGAAATTGTACAACACAAAACTGTTAGTCCAGTGGGTGCTAAGGCTGCAGTACAAGTCAGTGCAAAGTAAGCCACCACTGAAAGCATTTACTTCGTTGTCTTGTTGATATGGATCCATTTTAAATTACTGTAAAAAATGGCTGTGATTAATAGCAGTGGTAGAGTTATCTGAGATATTGTAAAAACACACCTTCACAACTGTAGTGTTTTGGTTTTGTCTGTGTGTATGTGTGTGTAGCTACTGGAAGACACTAAAGTTTTGGTTCTGCTTTCACAACAAATTTGTAACCAATATACTTTAAAAAAACAAACAAAACCAAAAACCAACAAAACAACACCAACAATGGCTGTTTATTCAGTTTTGTTGTCTAGTTAGGTAAGTTTGGAAAAAGATACCATTGTATAGAATGCAGTCTATTCCACAGACCCAAATAGTGATGTTGGTCCAAATCTGCTTATTTTTAATAACTTGTTTGTTTGTTTGGATACACTAGTGCTCTTGGAATAGATTCTTGCTTGATCAGAGTATTCTTGTTTAGTTTTGTGGCATGGTTTATATCTATTCAGCATAAAATTTTGTTAGCTGTAAAAAGGACACTGTTGATAACTCTTGTTCACTGGGGTTCATGAGAGCTGTCATTTTGATTTGTTTACATTTAAACTAGTCTTAATTTTTACAGATTACTTCACCTGTTCCTCTAATACCTAGGGAAGTCACTTCTAAACAGCTAAAACTTTCACTGGCTATGCAGAAGTGGAACTATCAGTAAACTAGAGAAAAAAGATCACGTACCTTAGTCTACACAGGACAATGACACTTTATCCAGAAGACCCACCATTCTGCAAAATTGCCTTTGTTTGCCAATTTGTTGGCAAACAGTTGTTCTGTTTATACATTGCAGTCTTTCTTTATCCAGGACACTACTAATGTGTGTATTTAAGCAAATCCCCAATATTTAGCTCCATAGTATCATCACGTACTTCATGGAATAAATTTGGAAAGGGAAAAAAAGAATTTTTTCCTGTTTTCTATATTGTTTTGTGTTTTTAATTTGTAAAAACTTTGTTTATGAGTGTTTTTTAATAATACCTGAAACCTAGGTATTTTTAGGTTTTTAAATTTTTACGTGCAACATTTGTTACTGAACAAACAGGATTTCCCCTAGGGTTTTTTCCCCTCTTGTCATCTAAGCCATAAAAAGGTGAGCACATCATAATAGTACTAGATAACTGGAGCATGGGCACCTTTTTGATAAGCTCATTGGCTTAAAAATGGAGAGAAGAAGAGATTGTGCACGCTCATTTCATCGTTTTTCTGATTAGAGATTGACATGTGGAATCTGAACATCAGATCTCTGCATTGATTTGTTCATGTCAGGCTTGCAGGGGGAGAAAGTGGTACTTTCCATCCTCATCTGGAGCTGGTACAGGATAGAATTCCTATAGACACAAAACTTTCCAGTCTCTGGCCTCAGCTTCTCTAAGAGCAATGATTCCTTGTGGTCCTTGTTCACAGCTTCAGCAGAAATTGTGGGTTTGTCAAGGTAATTAAGACTTCCATGATGTTTAGTCACTCAAGTTAAATATAGGTTCCTACAGATGATCCTAAATTCAGACCTACTCATAAAAAATGGAAGTAATAACACATTTTCTGGATGAAAAGTTTTATTTTTCAGACATAAGAAATGGCCTGGAGCAGCTAGAGTCCTGTGCCATGGATTCTGGAATTGAAGTCAGATGTTGGCAATTCCTCTTTGTTTCATTTTAGTTCAAGCCCAACTTACAGGGATTGTTACAGTTTACCCTCTACTTGTATTTATCTCATTAAGCTACCTTTGAAACTGGATTGAATTTGGGGGATTTGGGGAATATGAAACCAATCCGACAGTTCATTGTAAGGATGTACAGAATTTATGAGGGGAAAGAAAGAGAGAAAGGTTTACTGTGACATGCTAGGGGATGGTATACTAGAGATTGCAACATTGAAACATGATTTACAGATAGCAAGTTTGAAAGGTAAGGTTATTCCTGGATGACTGGTGTACAGCCCAGAATGGCAGTCCTCTCACAGAACCCCAAGCCTTCTGCTTAAGTTATTTTTCTATTTGTGGGGCAGAAAAGGGGCAGTCCATTTACAACTGAATTCATTCAAGGAAACTTGAAATTGTAGGTGTTCTTTCAGTCTGTAGTTTTATTAAGTGCATACTTTAAATATTGTTTGTCAGTGAGAAGGTTCTATCTGGTGACAAATGTTTATATTTCTTATGGCTGCCTTGTAAAGATCAGAAAATGTACAATAATGAATTTCTTAATATGAAATAAGGAGTAAGATTTCTACAACTGCTATAGATTTTGATGTGAGCTGGTTTTTAAAATCTTATAACAGATTACTCACTTAAATAAAACCTTCCTTGCCTTTAAGCAAACAGTGTCACTGATTTTTCTTACCAGTGAATTGGGAAGTATTAGATCATCATTGTACATGTCCTAGTAGCTGTTGGAAACAGTATAGAGGCTTCCTGATACATGTGTTTGAAATAATACTTGGAGGTTGACTTTTCACAAAACTCCAACCCTCCCTCCTTTTCAGAAGTCATAGAAGGAGGTATGTTGGTAATGAGTCACCATCTTTGTGAATGCTTTATAGAAGAAGTAGTTTCAGAACATCCAAAGAACATATGTTCCTTATAGAAAGGTGGTTAAAAAACCCTAAAAACAGCACACAAAACATACACAAATACTACATCAGGAAATCAGGATTGAATACTTGCCATATTTATATTTGATACCATTAAAATTTTAGTGAAACTGGAACTGAATTACATGCACATCTTAAACATTATCAAGTAGAGCAAAATTTTCCAAATCAGTCTTTTGTTTGAAGGTTCATCTTAGAGTGAATGTAACTGGAGAAGCCTGCACAAAGCTGCTACCACCTAAAACAGCCCTGCTGTTGAATTCCAGAAGCTTGAGAAATCTTTGCTTTGGTTTGAAAGACTAAACTTTGTTACACTGAATGACCAACCAAAAAAGGCTTTTCAAAGGAATGTTACTTTTTTGCTTCTAGTTACTTAAAAAAAAAAAATATATCAAATGCTATGTATGCATCATCAAATAAAATACCTGCACTGAGATACTGGCTAATAACAGTAGCTATAAGAGGTTACATTAATTGTAGTAACAATTTCTGCATATAACTAAAAGACAGATGTTGTAGTACAGAAGCAATGTTTAACTCAACTGCCAAGATGGTATTTAAAGCAGCAGTAGGAAATTACAAAATTACTCTGATTTGTCTGGGACCAAACTACCTAAGATAGGATTAGTTAGACTAATCTAATAGCAATCCTTAAGGCCATGAATTAAGAGTCCTAATGTGGCTTTTCTCTTGTGGTGTGAGTGACTCCACAGAAACCTATTGCCTTGGAATGGCGGTTGTGGTCAAAACTTAAAGAAGCCACTATTGTTTTATTAACTTCCAGCTAAACATGATGCTTAATGCTTAGTTTGTTTATATATAAAAAAAATGTTAGGCTTTCAAAATAATAGACCAAACTCTTTTGTATGTAAAATACTTGTGCTAAAACTCATGGCAATTGGATACCAGTCTAAACACTCCTCTTACCTAGGATTACCCTTCATAAGTCTGTAGCCCTTGCTTTGGCCATTCCTACTGGTCGGTTCAACATCAAAGTACTTACTGCCTCATGAAAGTCACATTCAAGATGGTTCCCTCATCTCAGCAGGAGATAATACCCTGTGGTTGGTACCACAGGTACCAACTACAGTTGAAAAGAGAAAGCAAGGGAAGTCCCGAGCTGCTTTGTCAAGGAAGATTATAAAATGTAGTGATTTGTTTAGTGTATAGAGTGCACCCTTTTGGTGCTACACAGACCTCTCATTTATATATGCTTATAAACTAATAATAGTTACAGTCTCTGTCTAGGTACCAAGTGCTTGATGGAGTTTCTTTGCTTGCCTTCTGATAGCTTGAGAAGGTTTCAGGGATCGACACGCAGAATGTAAGTTTTCTGCCATTAGATAGTAATAGTTTGATGTTGCTTGTTGCCTGCAGAAGAACAACAACAAGACTGCCATTAGCAGCATCAAGTCAGTAGGGTTAATCAACTGGTGGTCACCCAAATTGCTGGAAAGCAGATGGGAGCAAGGAAGAGGTCTGGTATCTGTACGCTTGCCACTGTGTAACAGCTCTAAACAGCAGCAAGAAAATATTTTGTTCCCTTCAGTGAGCGTAAATGGCAATACACAAATTAAGTACTGCAATACTTTAACTAGCAACAGGAACATTTCTTGTGATATAACCTAATTCATTAAAATGAAAAACATTGGAAAAATACATGGAACTGGCACCTATCATTTGAGATCAAGGTTTGTTTCCTCCTGGAAAAGCTGAAAAGGGAGCTCTAGCACAAACTCAAGGCAATTGGATACCAGAACAGAAAATCTCATGCAAGACTAAGGGCACCTCCAAAAGAGTTCATTTCACGGTTGATACAGTAGGCAGCCTACAAACCAGTCAGTGAGAGAGCACATTGGATGCATCTACCCATGCAAGAGAACTGGACCAAATTACTTACTGGCAGCAGAACACAGCCCTGTTCAAAGTCGAGCATTTGAAACTGCTTTCATATTTTCTTGAAAAGTTACAGCAAACAGTGTCTTACACCTATCTTTGTTGCTAAAGTAGGACATCCTATTTAAGGATGTAGCTTTAACAAAAGGAAGACTTACAACATAATGGATGAAGAAACTAATGTCACAATACAGATCTCAGTGAAGTTAATTAGAGGCATTTACCTGGTAATGGTCCAATGAATTGACACTAGAAGTGATGTTTAAAAACTGACAACAAATACCTCCTGTTCCCATCCCTTTGGGTAGGATTGCTGTGTTTAAAAGTGCCACCGATAATTAGCAACTGCTGTTATTGTGATAGCACGGTCTTAACTGCTACTGATGGAGGGATGGAAAAGAAAGGCTGTAAATTCAGACAGCTCAGGATAATAGTTTGTTCTGTCATGCTTTCTGACCTTCATTAGTAATCGGTGAGAACTGAGCTAGAGTGACAAAAACATTAGTACCAGTAGTTTTCTGGTCTGGGATGAGAAAAGCTGTTGTTTGCATAAAAGCCCAGCTTATGGTTCATTGGAAACCCACAAGGATTCATCAATCCACAATTTAGAGGTGAAATTTTACAAATGCACAATGATCAGCTGTAGCAGAGACAGCCACAGTGAATACCAGGGAAGAACCCTGTGGTTCCACAGAACACTGCTTTAAAGCAGCATGAGTCTATAAGCCTTTTTCTCTCTAAACAGCAGATTTTCTCCCCACAGATGCATGCAGGTATAGACAGGGTAAGTGAACAACTACTTTACCTGGTTGCTACTATCTTCAGTTACGAATGAGAGAAACTGTCATATCGCTAACAGATGGAAGAATATTAGGAATGAGATTTAGTGAACTTTCAACGGATATGATAAAATTAACTTGATACAAGATTTAACCTATAGTTATCTAGACATGGTCCCATTGGGAAAAATTGAATTTTTGGAATTATGTAGGATTTTAAGTCCTAACCTCTTTGTTGATAAATGTACTTGATGATAAGCCCTCTCTGGAGACTTTGAGGTGCTTGACATCAAGTGTTCTAAGAGAAAAAGAGGTTTAGGGAATCACCCTATGACAAGACTTCTGACCTTTAGTTTTTACTCCCTTAATGTCTAATTCAGAATGATGTAACCTTCACAAATACAGCAGCCTACCATCTCATGGATTAACCAAGGTGTTTTATAACAGGTTTCTGCATCTGGGTACTATGGATTGTTTGTTACATAATTCTACCTAATAAAAGGATTTTTTGTTATAAATGTGCAGACATCAATAATTATGTCCGTGCACTGGAATTTCCCCACCTCCCCCCCAGCTTGCATTGGCACTCTTTTAGACAGAGGCAGGGAGGTACTGCTCTCACACAAGGTCAAAGGTAGACTCTTGCTGCGAAAAATCTGATTTCCACAGCAAGATACCTGAAGACAAGGAGAGCATCTGACAGGTTTTCAAAGCTGCAAATTGTGGTAGTTTGGTCTGGGCCTTCCTTAGTGACCAGTTTGTAACCAAGGAAGGGCCCAGATTTACCCAGTATTCCCTACGATTTTTATGTAAGCCAGGGTATAAGAAGAAAGGAGGAGAGGCCTTCGCTCTCTTTCCTTCCGGCAGCTTGGAGGTGCAGGTTCCCTGCTGTTGAGTCTGTCGGGTTGGGGAGCGAGGCCTGGTTAGGCCTTGTTGACCTTGGGAGGCGGAGGTTGCCGGCGATCGTTCCAGAGCGACTTTCGGTTGTCCCAAGGAGAGTAGTGAGATATTTCTTTGCTAACCTTTTTTTAGTTGCTAGATATTGGGCTACTAATCAGGATATATATATATTCTATTTTGGTTTTGTTCCTTTTCCCTTCCCCCTTCCCTTTCCCTTGTGAAATTGTATATATATTTCAATTGTATATAATTGTAACATAAGTGTAAATATATTTATATATATTGCTTTAGTTGTCTCTCTCTCGTTTCGGTTTTTCTTGGTTGTTTTTCTCCCTCTTCTCCCTGAGGTTTGGAGGGGGGGGACTTCTTGTGGTAAGGTTTGGAGACTTGGCAGGGAGCCAGCTTCAAACCATATCAAAATCCAACTGCAGATTTAAACTGCTCAGGTATCTTGAAGAAAGAAATTATCTACATTACACCTGAGAAAGTTCTGCAACTATTCCTTATCCTGAGTTACAGGGACGACCTAACCTGCAATTGCCAATGTCCAAGTAGGAGGTAACCTGTGCCAAAAGTTGAGGGACAGTTAACAGTATTTACCTCTCCTCTTTCACAATAGCATCATCAAATGCCTGGGAGATACGCTTCAGTTGGCAAATCCCTGAGGAGACCAGTTCCAACTCGCAGTCACATTCCCTGCAAACAGAATCATAATTACTAAAGATCAGACAGGACAGACTGACTAGGTGACACTACTCAAGCCTCTATCCCTGCAGTACCACTCTTGTTACCTCCACACTTTACCTAGAGGAGTTTAAAGCTGTGGCAATCATGCTCATACTTTCACTGGCCAACTGCTTCACATTCCCCAGGCAGCTATCTTCCAGTTCAGACACAGGATTCAAATTCAGCTTCTAGCTTTGACCTTTCTTGTGACTGACCAAAAGAAAAACCTATGCGTGCATTATGAAGTATTTCCCAAGCTCACAACCCTTGATCTAATTTGTGTTAAATCTCTGAGGCAGGAATCTCTCTATAAAGAATTCAGTATAAGCAGAGCTATTCCTGGTATCTTTGCAATACAAATAGCAACTCTGGAAAAGTTAGAACTAAGTAGGAGTAAGATGCATAGAGAGCATTTTTCTTTACTTGGGTAAAGAATCAGCAAAGAATTCAGGTATGTCTGTAGCATCTTAGGGGCACTTGTACTGAGAAACATGGTGCAAACTTACCCAGTGGGAGAGGGATTTTTAAAAAGTTCCTGTCATGGGACAAAATTACTTTTTACGTTTCAGCTTTATGCAGTTCTCAGTCTCTGTCTATACAGGGACCTAGAACTACCTTGTAACTATTCAAACAGCCCACCCTTTCAGGGGAATAGGATAGCAAACTTCATACCTTGCCTTTTACCCTACCACATACCCTAATCACAGTAATTTAAAAAAAAAAGAAAAAAAAAGGAACAAGGTTTACAAAAGAATATGACTTACATCTTTCTGGCAGGAGCAGGTGATGAATAAGGGCTCTTCAGTGCTGCTGCTCTTCTTGATCTCCGGAGAGAGACAGCATTTTTACCAAGCCAGGATGAGAAATCCCTCCGTTCTCCATGTTCTGACATCCTTGTTGGCCCAAGCAAGGCCCTTTTGCTGGACCTTGGGATGCCTTTGGAACTGACTGCTGGAGTAACAGTCTCATAGCAAGGGGTTTGAGGTGTAGCACTTTTTTTCTTGGTAGAACTTGTCGCACAGCTTCTGCTGATGGATTCAGCTGGAAAGGTCACCATTGAGTGTACTGGGCTTTGGCAAGACTTCTGTATTTTCTGAAAGAAGCATTAGATACATTAGGCTAAAAGAACTCAATTAGCCTAGAGTTTAGAACCAGAAAGACAAGGAACATTTAAGCTGAATTCCTAACTTCCATTCCCATATCAGGTTTTCTCAACCCTCTGTACCCATTTCATTGGAGGAGTCATTTGCTTCCCTAATCCTTAGCACCTGTCAAGGACTTCAGAGCAGGCATCGGAACAGAACTCCTGCTGCTCTTATGCTGGAACAAGCCAGGCTCCCTAACATATAACTCATGCATTTAAAAATCTCAGGTCTCCAACAGGTTTTGTCAATCTGAATTTATACTGACTATAATGAAGAACTATAATAATTAGTATGGGTATGGGAGAATAAATAAGAAAAAAAAAATCCAAAGTGCTACACATTTCTCAGAAACAATTCTTTGCAAGCAATGGCAACCTCTAGCCAATTTCCTCCTTGTGAAGGCTGCTCTGCTATACATGATGAAATAGAGTAGAGGAAAAGCATTTATTTCATGCTAAAATAATGTTTTCACCCTCCTCCATATTCTGCCAGATCCATAATTTGACTGTCTATACTTTAGGAAAAGATATTAAAGATTTTACAAGTGAATAGCTATGAGGTAACCATTAAGGTGTGCAAGTGTGTGAGAATGGACTCTGGAATACATGTACAGAGTTCAGAAATCTTAATACTGAAGTTGGAGCAAAAACTAAACTCTATCCACGTTCCACTGCAAAGGGAAAGTACCTGGGACACTGTTCCAAAAGCATTTTTTGCTGTTCTTTTAATAATCTGAAGAGTTTGGCACCTCTGTCCTGCTTCCAGACTTTCCCTAGTTGGGGTGTTATGAAAATTCAGCTCTACTCGCTTTAATGGTGCTCGTTTCCTTAGAGACATGCAGATGGTATTGAGAGAACTCAGAGCAGCCTTTCTCTTGAATTTGTCAGGCACAGGGCTCTCATTTTCATCAAAGTCAGCTAGGAGTTGGTGTTTCTGCCAGGCCATTGTTGCTTTGACATTGTGGAGCACAGATGCCATCTTGTTCCAGTTCCTGGTCAACCTTATTTCTAAAAGAATTAAAATGAAAGCAAGGCTTAGACAGAGCAAGGTACAAAGCAGTGTAAAAACAGAAATGGAAACTGTTACATACAATATACTTGATTACACTTGCCTGAAACAAGAAAACCAGAGCTGGGCAGACTTTTACTTGGGCTTTTACTATCGATTCTGTAGCACTGATTTCTACAGGTATTTAAATTTGTACAAGTCCATGAAGAAGCCTTATACTGCATTTCCAGTGCAAGACTCAAGCTTGTGAGGTAGAGTGCTCTGTAAGTGCAACTTTTTTGTTTGTGTTTCAGACTAAGATCTGGTATCCCAAATTTTTGCTTTCTTTAATCAAAACAACCTTCCACTGCCAGACAAGTTTACACAGCTGCTCTTGTCTCCTGCCTGACTTGCTGGCTGAAGGTTCACGCTTTATTCACAGTTATGACTGTGGATACATAAGTCCTGAAATAAACAGGATTTTTACTGGCAGAAGACTTCAGTGGGAAGGGCTAAAATGCTAGCTATCTATATGACATATAACAATTGAAACATGCATACATATTTTAACTTCTTCATTTTCACTTACTATTGAGGTAGGATACCACTAATGATTTACTTCTAAAAAGCAAGTGAAATGCAGATGTATTTTAGCAATCTGAATTGAGAGTGAATTAATTTTATCAATACTTCATTGCAGATCATGTTAAAAAAGCTGGGAGGTCTCTACCATCGTTATATCACTACTATGTCTGCTGAGTTATCTCCATCTTTCACAAGCGTCCTTATTCGTGTCAAAAAGCAATAAGGCTTATGGAAACGTTGTAATCCTGAAGGTGTTTGGGATATTAACACCTTTAATTCATTCCTGCATGTGGCACCAGGAAGAGCTACTAATCGGGCAACCGCTCAATTCTGACTAGCTCGCAGCTGATCCAGGCTCCTTTGGACCGCCTGCCAGCTGCTGCTGATTAATTTATGCCGGCAAATACAACTGAGGTGAAACGCCCTGAGGGGAGCAGCTGCCGTCCCAGGATACACTGATCTGTTATGAGACAGGCACTGCACAGGACAGCGCGGTGGTTCGGTTAGTCCGGAGCCCACGGCGGACTGGGACAGCCGAGCCGCTCTCGCCGCCAGAGCCGCAGGAACCCCGCTCTACTGGCATTGCCCGTGCTCCCCGCCGACAGCCGCGGCAGAGCAGCCGCCCCGGGATAACGGGGCACGGCGACACGGGGCGAGCCGGGGCGGGCCCGGCCGGCGCCGTTATTGTGCGCGCCGGGGACGCTCGTAGCAAGCGCGAAAGGCGCCGCCGAAGCCCGAGAAGACCGGCTGGTGGGCCGCTCCTGCAGCCACTCAGCCCTGTACTCACTCAGTGCGTGGAGGGGACAGAGACCGGGACCGGGATCGGGATCGGGACCGGGATCGGGACCGACGCACCACCTCCCCTCAGGACCCGCCTCGCGCGCCGCCGCCACGTTTGAACGGCGCCCCGCCCCTCCGGCCCTTCCGATTGGCGCCGCCGCAGCCGCCGCCCGCCTCCATTGGCCGTTACCCGTTTCGAGGCGCGCGCACCAGCCGCGGCTGGGGGCCGGAGGGGCGGCCCCGGGCGGGTCGCGTCCCGGGGTCTCCCCCGGCACAACCGCAGGGGCTGCGCCGCCACCCCGCCCCCGAGCCCGAGCTGCCCTCAGCAGGAGCGGGACCAGGAGACGGGCTGGGCTGGGCTGCCGGGTGGATGTTCGAGAGACAGCTCCTGGTACTTCTGGTAATTCATTGGCAGTCAGAGTCTTAGAAGTTTTTGGTTTGTTTGCTTTTTCTCCGCGGGCTTCTACAACTCTTGTTGGAGGAGACAGCTCGTCTAACTGTCCATGTCGAACTGGAAACCATCTGAAGCAAATCGGGCAGCAAAGAGGGCCAAGTACAGAGAATGTGGTTGGTCAGCGGTGGGGTTTTTGGTTTGGTTTGGGTTTTTTCTTACCCTAGAGAAAAGCAAAACGTACAAAGCATTTATTTATCTTTAGATCACTTCTACCTGAAAAAATTGCTCCCAGAAAGCTGTATCAGCTTCTCTTTTTTTCCAAATGATTGGTTTTTCCCCATCAAATTAAACTTGGAGCTGACAGGTGAAGACACCTCCATAGCTAAGACTTGGCTTAGAGCCATGGGGAAGCCAACACAGTGACACTGCAGGATACCTCTCGAATCCCACCACTGGCTTATAAACATACTTTTCACTAATTCCTAAGAGCTCTGGTTTAGAAAAAGTTCCATATGATGGTGTTTGTACCCCTTTCTATTCACACACTATAATATGGGTGACTAGTGTAATAAATATCCCTCATTAATAGACATGTTTCTATGTATTGCAGCCCTATATGCTGTTCTGCTTTCCTTTGTCCATTGGCTTTAGGGCTTCCAGGTACCTGAAGATGCGTTAGACCTTGCCTGCTGTGTTCTCCCCACCCCAATCTCCATAGTGGAAGCTTCAGATTCTTCTCAATTGCAAACCGCAGCTTGAGCTATGACATTTTAAGACTTGGCTTGGATCTTTGGACATTCATCTAAAGACCTGCAAAACAAAGAGCTCTTAGTGGGGAGTTGGTACTAAATACAAGAGATAGAGTCAGGTGGTAATTGGACCCGTGTGCTCAGTTTCTAAAGGCTATCTTGATTACTGGGTGTTTGAATTGGCACTTTGGATGGCAAGGGTGGGCAGAGGAATCCCTAAGAATTTTGCTAATTGGACAGAGCATGTGTACAGGCAGAGGGATGCTGTGTGACATAACTGTAGGCCGAAAGGGAAGGAAAAGGGCTGAAGCTGAACTGGGCAGTCAGCCTGTGCTTTCATGCCTATTTATAAAATTAAAATAGAAAGATCTGAACCTCAGGGATCTGCGTATTTTCTTCATCCGCTTATGGTGCCTTCGTTGTTTCCATCCATTTCAACTTCGTTACCCAGCAGGACAGCATGTGCAAAGGAGGAAAGGTAGATTGTTTGGAGATTGGCATCACATACTTTTGAGTTGCATCTTCTTGTAGTCTTGCCAGCCAGTAAGCCTTGATTTTTGGAGTAGATCATAAGAAAGTGTCACTAGATGTTTTTCCAGTTTCATCCCCAAAAGCTAAGGAAAGATTTACCAAGTGGACAGGGTTAAGACACGTGCGTTATAGAGATGGGAAGTAAATACATCCTGAATTTTAGTGTCTCTGCAAAGGTACTAGCAGAACACTAGCTTTGCATGCTCTTTGTCTATTTGCAGTCAACTAATACCCTGATATGTAAAAGGCCTCACAAAAACAAGAACCTAACAGGCCAGTGGGATGCTGTTTGTGTTTCATAGCTGAATGCATCACTTCCCTTCTTAAATGTTTATTGCTCAGACCCTCAATCCACTCACCTGGTTGGTGAAAAGTGACACGACAAGACATACAGCCTGCACCTGACTGGCAAATCATGGCCTATATTTCTCTGTTTGCCTTTACATATAGTCAATTGTCATGACATCATGAATGTCATCTCCTTTTTCCATGGCAATGGCTGAGCTTCACATAGGGAGGACTCAGAGGCCGAGAAAACAAATCTTTAGAGGGAGACTGTGTGAGCTGGAAAAGTGTGCGTGAAGATGAACACTTGCACAGTCCAGCTTTGAGAGTGGAACTGGTAACTTCTTGCATCATGGTTGTTTCCTTAGGTGGACTTACAAAGACTTAGTTGGTCTTCTGACTTGCCAGCCTACTCCCTGTCCACTAGACCACAAGGACTGAACATCCTGCTTGAACCAAGTGATGGAACAGCTTAATATTGCTTATTATACTCAACAGGAATTGTACTGTAATCTAAGGCAGGGTACTAATTGTCATGGAATTGTACCCCAGAAGGCTATGAAAAGTCATTTGTGCTAATTTTGCGCTGACAGTCCTGTTCAAATGTATACAGCCCAAAGAACTGGGTATTTTTAGACATTAGGCACAGTCCACAAACCATGATCAATTAATTACAGCTGATGCTAACCAAAGGTTTCTTAGAGGCTGTGGCTGCTCTACCAGCAGTTGATACCATTTCACTCTTTAACTAGACTGAAGGCAAAAAAGTTAAAAGATGTGTCCTGTGCTTGTACTGTGATTGTTCTTCATTCATTTTTTTTTCTTTTGATTTAGGTTAGACTATAGTTTAGACCCAAGAGCCTGTTTGACCCTGACAGCTAAAGTACAGAGGCAAGGGAAAGATTGTTGGTTTTGATTGTGAGGAAGCAAGCTTTCATCCATTTGCTTAGAAGCCTATTATGTTGGGATTGGCAAGAAATCTACCCACAGCTTTCTGCATCTAGGTTTGACTCAACACTCAGAAGAGAAGTAAGAAACAGTCCTCTCAATGGAAGATGACAATGAACCTGAGCAAAGCTCCTGGGCCCATCTACCTGATGTTTGTCTGAGGCATGTCTTCCACTGGTTAGATGACAGGGACAGGTCTCGGGCTGCCTTGGTCTGTAAAAAATGGAGTTGTGCTATGTACTCTGGATCTCTCTGGAGATGCAGAACCATCACATTCTATGGCCAACCATCAAGGGCACGCACATTGGAGTTTCAAAGTGCATTGTGGTACACCAAGAAATTTGGCAAGTATTTGAAGCACCTTGAGGTCAAGTTATCGAATCCTTACAATACTCCCTTTATCAAAAAATTTCAAGTGACTATGAAAGGTCTTCTTTCTCACCTGGGTAAGTGTAATAGTCACCTAGTATCCTTGAGCATCAAGTACCTAGAATTAGACGGCTTGATCTGGAAAAATGTGGTCAGGGCTCAGTTTATCAAGAACTTAGCTCACTTCCTGAAAAGAATGAGCAAACAGCTTGATTATCTCAACTTAAAAGGAGCAAGAATAACTTTGGAAGAAGGCTGTGAACTTCTGAATTCTCTGAGCAGCTTGACAAATAGAAGCTTTATATCTGAAATCAATATTGAGGATTTCTTCAGTCTCCACCTTTCTGTCTACAGCAGTGCCTTGTTCCACCAAACTATGTCTAAGTTCCACAGCCTGACCATCCTGACTTTCAACTATAACTGCATCTCTGATGAACTGCTGGACATCCTGCGGGAGCACAGCTCTCATTCTCTGTGCACCTTGAATATCAAGTGTCATATCCATGACCCTCATGGGCAAGTGGTCTCGGGAATGTCATGGGCAAATTTGGCCAAGAGAGCCCCAAAACTGAATGTGAACTTCTTCTTTGAAAGAGTCATGAAGCATGATCACCTAGCCAGGATCCTGCTAGTGGAGATCCCAGTTAGGAGCATCAGCCTACGGAGCTGCTATTTCAGTGACCCAGACTGGACAATGAGACCTACCCTCACTAACCTTCTCCCAGCCTACCGGCATGGTCTGCAGGTAAGGGAAATAGTAGTAACATCTTACTGCAGTATCACAAAGCTAAGCAAAGTAATCATTTAGGCCTGCATAACAGCAGTCAGCAATAGAACTTCCTGAACTTTCATGTTCAGAGGGTGGTTTTCCATAAATAAGTCATTCCAGTGTTCAGCTGTAGTGTAGTTCATGAAATTATCCTTGTCCAGTTACAATCCCCATTATGCTATCAGGCTGCTCCATTTTGGCAATGCACAAATGTCCTACAGCACATATAAATTAACTAGTGGCCATATCAAAGCACTTTGGTGTCCCTGGGGACGTATCACCGAAGGTGTGCAACAGCTGACCCATGTAAATGAGCATCAGGTCTTTGCATGCCTGAGAGAAGCACGTGGCCTTACACCTAGTGGTTGCTGACAGCTTTCTTTAAGCCCTGTTTCATTGCAGAGTTTCTGGTGAACACCAGAGATCCGCAAAGCTCTCTAGAAACTGTCTTTGGCTCTACCCACATATCTAGGATAATTTCCAATATGTCAAATAAGATCATGACATGACTGTGAGTGTAGCATCTTCTAATGAATGCACAAGGGATCACCCCATCTTAATGGGAGAGTGAAGATTACTGTAGCACATATACTGTTGTCATAATGCAAAACAGATTCTCTGCTAATAGGGTACAAAATTGATCTGCTAACACTCACTTTTGTTGGTTAAATTGGAAAACTATTTGTTG